TTTATGCTGGATTCGTCGCTTCCATCCAGCTTTTCTAATGAGAAAATCCACATAAAAGGCGAGGTGGAGCATCGCTTCAGCAAACTATCCGTAGACTAATAGTCTCTCCTTCTGCAAATGATTGCATCATTTCGATGAGCGGATTCAGGTCTAGTTGCAAAGGCAAACAAAGCAGCACAGCTTGGATCCTCATCACTTCACCGCTCCACTCACTGAGTGAACAAAGGACAACTACACACCAGTTTAAGGCAACTTTGATTACCTCATTTAATGAGTGATTGTAGGTGAAACTGCGTCACTTGTTTTGGCTGCAACACATTTGTTGTTTCGACTTATAACGCATGGATTTTTTTATAATCCAGAGATGTGAATGAACAAAGTTATTTCATTATAAATAGATGCACAACACACAACATAAACAACAATCTTCAGACAGATTTGTTGGATTTGTTGTGACCAAGATCCATACAGAGCAGAAGATCTCAGCGCTCTCTGGTGGACTGTGATACGGTGACACTGCTCCTAAACGCAGAGAAGTACGGGTGTGTAATTTATCGACCTGGACGATTTATGCCCACTGAATGAAAGCACATAAATAATCCCCGTCAGAAAAATGTAACAATAGAACGACAGTATCTGTCGCTCGATTATTGTCGTTTTGAGATAATCAGCATCGGCCAATGTCCGCACTGTGTCACAATGATCCGCTGACGGTCATATTGGCTTCATATCAGTTCTGTTGCAACTTTCACTACAGATTCTGTATCTGCAGAATATGTAACAGACATTGATTAACATAAACTACATGTAAAAAAAATAAGAAACCTAAACTAACTGATATAATTGTTGAATTTAAGATAAATCCTGTATCTTCTAGTGACTTGTTTTCTATAGGGCTAGCAATAATATTATGTTAACGATAATGATGATAGTTTTTATTTGAAATGAGTGCACTGCAGGGTGCAGATTTACTTCAGCAAACAGGGACAAGTCAGACAACAACTGTGTTAACTAAATGCTCATTGAAGTTCAGGGATTTTGTGTAAATTGCTGTATTTTATCATATGCAAAAAAAACAAAAAGACAACATGATATCGGCACTATTCATCAGCCGCCCTGCTCTCTAAATATCTGCATCGGACATTGAAACTCCCATGTTGGTCGACCACTAGAAAACAGAATACTATGACACCTGTCCTTAACAGTATGCTGCAGATAAGACACAGAACCATCAGTCACTTCCTTTAATCAACCCAGCTGTGTACACACCGGTGTGTCACTAGAAGTGTGTCATGAATATGGGCATATTAATTGGTTTTGTGTGTAGGTTGCTGCGTAATGCGGCAAGAATGTAATGGAAAATATAAAGCTGAGACATGCCTCACTGTCTGTATCCCAAACACAAGACATTCATTGTGAGAGACACGAGACGAACGAATATGGGGAAAAATAAAACTTTACTTTTACACACACACACAGTCATGAACTGGTACCTCTTAGCAGCACGTCCAGCATGGAGACGCTGATGTCTTTGGAGCTCCTCTCTTTGTTCTCCACAGAGCGACAGAGCTGCTGCGCTGCCTGGACGATGCTCTGCTTCCCGTCCTCTGGAGACAACACCTTCACTGTGGGGCTGCAGGAAACCACTGACACACACACACACGCACACGCACGCACACGCACGCGCACACGATTAACTTCCACTGCCACATGATTGAAAGTCTGAGCATGGTGTACCTTCACAGGTACAGTAGATGTGGGGGAAAAGTCCCGGTCCTGCATCTATAAAGCAAGTCGGACCGTCGCTGATGCTGGAGCTCGATCCTCGTCCCTGGGACACGGCACCGTGAGTGACTTTCTCGGAACAAATAAATATTTTTAAATATCAAAAACAACAGAGTGGTGTTTCTTCTCCATGAAACCATTCTTGACCGAGCGTACAGCTTCATTGGCTACAGGTGACCAAATCAGTGGTCAAATCAATGACACTATCATAACGCGGTGGAATTTGCATTGTTTAGAATGAGAAGTTCACTTTAAAAGGGAAGGAAAGAAATTAGAAAGTGACTCACGAGGCAGCTTAAAAAACAAACGCGATAAATTCCACTAATAGGAATGAGGATATCAAATTAGTGACGAGAAACACAGAGTCTCGTTTGATGATTTGTATAAAAAGCTTTCATTCCAGCCACTCCACTGTTACTTATCCTGTTTGCATATTTGTAAAGAGCCGATTAGGTGTGTACAGGGCAGAGAAAACGGCCTTCTGCAGGAGGAGTCTTGCTGGGGAAATCAGGTCTCCTTAATCCCCTACCGAGACAAGGGAGACCACGTTTCTCCTCCACATGACATTTATGGACTTGGTTTACCAGAGAAGCCTCGATCATATCGAAGTGCATGTAAACGCACCGACTAAAACAGTAGAGCCAGCTGTGCATAATCCTTACCATGGTGCTGGTGTTTGTCACTGCCGTTGCTTAGGAACTCCACGTTGTATTTGGATCCATCCGCACCCAGCAAGTCCTGCTGCTGCCTTACTATCTCCTCCAGCAGACGGGAGTTGTTCTTGCGGAAAATACCTGAGTGAAGAGACCGATGAGGATGAGCACGTCATTCAATCCAGAATAAATAGAAACAAGGCAATCTTACAGAGGAGTCTTTGACTTCATTCAAAGGAGTGAGCATGCAGGAGAGGGAATATGTTAATGTACAAAGTAATAAAGCAGGGTTTTACGTGACCAATTTGCAACCTTTTTTTTTTAAAGCAAGATGAAGTTGCTTTTGGGATGAACCAGTCTATTCCATTTGAGCCCAGCTGATGGATCCCAGTTTAGCTCACAGTTCATGAGCTAAACTGGGATCACGTCCCAACACGGCCTTACATCTGCACGATGGACCTCTAGAGGAGGCTGGAATAAGTCACACTGGGTCCCGAATCGAACCTCAGAAATAAGCCTCGTGTGGACGTGATGTTGTCAATACTAACACTTCTGGTCCTTGTGTGTAAATACATGCTACAATGCTACCGCTACTGTGATGATCGTATCAAATAATCTAAACCTGGATGATAATTTAGACCCAAATAATAAATAGCAGATTTCCGACAGGCTTCGAGGAATAATAAAGTCTCATTTCTGTTTCCTCAGAGATCACGAAATGAGCATAGTCTCAACTTTTTTACAACTGACGCACATCAAGTGGAACAAACCAATATAACTTCTACAGTCACATGACGTTACAGAAATAAGACTGGGCAGGAAGGGAGGATCATTTTTCAACTTGTATAAACTATGGTGAGATGAGTGGAACATGCTAACTAATCAAACACAAAGGGGGTGTCTGTAAATGATGACATGAGGAAACGATTGCGTAGTTTAGTCTTCTAGACTGACATCTGTTCAGTGACAGCAAAACCTGTTCATCTGAGCCCACATTGCAGATACGCACACGTTGGTTTTATTTAATTAAAAAGACATGCATTTTAAATATATGGGCAATGGGAGAGTGTTTAGTTGGCCGCAGTTACGTTGAAATGTAACTTAGATAGCGGTGTGCCTACATTTGTCCAGCAGAACCAGCAGATAAAACCGAATAGAGACGGGGAGTAAAGGTAGAGATGTTTACCGTGATGATCATAGACGCTGACATAAGAAATGCCGACAGCCATACACCAGACCACCAGGTTTGCTATATCCGTATAGCTGGGTTCTTCTTCCGTTACCAATAGGCCGATGTGGACCGGCAGCTTCTCCAGAGACTTGCCGTCAGACAGCCACCGTGGCCGGCGACCTGCAGTGCGGTTTCCAGTCACAGGGTTAGCGTTAGCATCAGGGTTTTGATTTAACTTCTTCTGGTGGTCCGGAAAACCAGCCAGGGCTACAGGTAGCAGCAGACCGGCCATCGCCCGCTCCCACAGCCGCCCCTTCCAGCTCCGAAGCCGGACACGGAGCCAGGCGACGAACGCTCTGTTGATGTGGACCAGAACCAGCAGTAGCCGCCATAACAAGCCGTAAAGCAGCGCCATTAGTGTCCGTATTCCTTGTAAGAGCCTTAAAGGATAGTGGTCTGAATGTGCAGTACATGCGCTTTTCTCTTTAAGTAGTATCTGCCTGCTAAACCTGTTTCATCGCTGCCTGCAGCTCGGTCCGCCTGCCGCCATCTTCCTCTTTCGTTGGCAACCCCTGACCTGTGAACCCTCTGCGTGATACACGTAGCTCGCTGATTGGATGAGATAAGAGTGACGTCGTGCTAAGAGCCGCCTTAACGAGTGTCAATCCGGGCCATGAAACCGCAACACTTAATAAAGTGGGGTTTCAGAGTTTTTTGTGGTATATAAAATATAAAATATATATTCTTTTCAAGAAAGAAAATAAATAGTCGTGTCAAAGTAAAATTATACAATCAAAAATTGAAGAAAACCTCTAGGGGTTGTGTCTTTCGATGAAACGTGGTCTGTAGGCCGACACATCCAGAAAGTTAGTGACGGATTTAACAAAGTGTAAAATGTACAGGAGATTAAAAATCTAGGTTAAAAGTGAATAGGGGCGGAATAGTTGCACTGAGCACCATTAATCTTGGTTTAATTAGATCAATATTAGATTGTGGGCATGACTGTGTTTTGGATGAGACAGATTGTAGCTCCATTTATCTGGAACAAATAGAGCAAAGATAAGGACTGTATTTTAAATTCACATACAATAAAGACATACACAAAGTCAGTAACATTTAAATAATAGCATCAGTTTGAGTGACCTGCAGTGGAATGTACCATCCACGCAATTACAGTACCATACTTTCAGCCAAGTATGAGGACTTGGCTGAAAGTGGAGGATTGCTCACCCCTGGGTGGGAGTGAGTGGCTGCCCCAAATGACAGAGTTCATGTATCTCTGAGAGAAAACATTATTCACATAGTGCTTCTTTTCATCCAGTTTGCTGGGAACGCTACTCAGAAGACTTTGATTGTGTGGAGGAAAAGCTAACAGAAATATGTTTCCACTAAACTACTGAAGCTACCACTGTTGAAGAGACTGTCACAGTTACTGAAACTGTGACTTCAGGTCAAAATCCACAGGGTTGTCACTGTAGAGTAGAATGAAGTGAGTGACAATATTCTTAAACAATGAAAAGAGCCCAACTCCTGAACCCAAACAACAAATATGAAGGAGCAGCCATTGATGGGAGAGTGTCTGGTACAAGGATCTCAGAAGTGCTTCTCTCAACTGATGTCGGTCTGTTGCCTTCATGAGACAGTGGCCTTCAGCACACACTGGGGCAGTTGTACTTCTTATCCAGTTTCGGACAATTCCACTAAGTAGAGTTTTATTGAGTGGAGTAAGCAGGAACAAAGAATAGTTTTTCCGCCCAGTTTCTAACGGGGGACCTTTCGCGCTTGTGGGAGCCAAAACTAGTGAGCTCTTAACTTTTCCCATTCATTTCCTATGGTAGTTCTTATCACTACGGCTGTCATATATATTTAGCCACAAGGGCGATTTTTGAGGCGCTGTATTACACTAGAATAAATAAAATGATTGCATTAGAATGTATATATTTATTGCACTAGAATAAATACAGAAATACTCTCAGGATATGATTGTATAACTGTCTGTATTGTGGCTCATTGTTTTCTTAACATCTGTGTTTATAGTTATTATCTAGATTGTATTAATAAAAATCACCTGGACTGGCTCTGATCTCTTCAGCCTGCAGATCAGAGCATTACTTGTACTTTTTATTCAACGGTTGGTGAAGTATGCGGTCATGAACGTCTCACGGTTTCGATCTGTAGACGTTCACCTCTTCAGCGGAAGCAGCAGAGCTAAACTCTCTAACTTTTCTCCGTTCATTCTCTATGGTAGTTCTCATCACTACGGGTGTAATATATTTTTTGGCCACAAACGGGATTTTGGCAGCGCTGTTTCTCACTTAAAAGAGTCCCCGTTTTTACGTCTGAGTGCCAGACAGCAGCTCACAGAATACAAACCCAACCTGAAGGCAACTACGTCAAACTAGTAATATAATAATGACTCCCTGTTGGTACAAATCAACCCTCTATTGAGGCAGGTGGATCCTCTATAGACTGAGATCGTACAGGTCTGTAGCTACAATCAGCTAAAGCAGGTCTGTAACTCCAGCTTTAATCTCCTGTCAGTCTTCACCACAAGTTGAGCAGATGTATGACTATTCTCTTTACTCTCTTCAAAAACATGAATATACATTCAAAAATAATAAAAATACAACAAAAATGAAAAGTCTTTCTCCCCGTCGGGGAATCGAACCCCGGTCTTCCGCGTGACAGGCGGAGATACTGTCCACTATACTAACGAGGAATGGCCTAAAAGGTCACGTGGCCCGAAAGTAAAGGGATTTAACTATGTGACAGTGACCAATGCAGTATAAGTGTCAGAAGTTTCTGAATCTGAGTGTCACTAAAACTGAAGTCATTTTACTGCATTTGACCAACATTATATCTTCTCATCTTGGCCCTTTGACCTCTTCTGTTTAACCATTCAATTCAGGATTTAAGTGTGAATCAATGAGATAGGTGAATTATGCTTAGTGTTTAATAAGAATGAACCAACACATGCTCACTCTTTCATGTAGGAATGTTTGGTTCTTAAATGACACAAATATAACAAGTAAATACATGATGTTTATAACTAGGTTGCAAATTAACAATCAACATCAAGTATCAGATGAAATAAACATCATTAAATACATCTGTATCAATGACATAGATAATTAACAAAGGCACAGTTAAACAGTGTTTAAATCTTTGGTTTAAACATACGTATACTGCCATCTAGTGGTAGAAAGGGTGAACACGTTTACTTATAGTGTGCTCTGAATTCACTGAAGCAACAGCACAATACGGTGGAAAAATAAATATCAGTGCTAACAGCAACAACTCTGTGAACACAAAGTGTTTCCGCCCGGTCTCGAACCGGGGACCTTTCGCGTGTGAGGCGAACGTGATAACCACTACACTACGGAAACTACATACGTGGTGCGTTCAGGGACGTAAAATAAAAACAAGTTTTTCCGCATATTGCAGTGATTCCAGTTTCACAGATTTCTTTTTATTTCTGTTTGTATCTTTGTACTTTTTTGAATGCATTTATTGAAATAAATCGCTTTAAAATGCCAGACAGCAGTTCACAGAATACAAACCCAATCTGAAAGCAACTATGTCAAACTAGCAGTGAGGGCCGTGCATTTTATACCTGGGCCTGCACTCGTAAAAAATGAAGCTCAACACCTACAAATACACTATGAGTGCAGATACATGAATACCCACATGACGGGATGCGGCGGCATTAACGGACAATGCATATAGTCAAAATCAATTCAGCTAAAACACGCATTCCCCACACACTCAAGAGCACGGGCCATTCAAATATTATTCATATCAGAGAAGGCTTTGCAGGCCCTGACGGCCCACCACTGCAAACTAGTAATATAATAATGACTCCCTGTTGGTAAATCAACCCTCTATTGAGGCAGGTGGATCGTCTACAGACTGAGATCGTAAAGGTCTGTAGCTACAATCACGTGGCCCGGAAGTAAAGGGATTTAACTATGTGACATTGACCAATGCAGTGGATTTCCCTGCTGTGTAATGTTTGGTGTAGAAAAGTACACAGTAACTGCAATCTACGATATCATCATCAACAAGCGGCATTAGAGTTCAAAATGAAGTTCAGTTTATTGACTTCATTCAAATATTAACATGATTTGTGGTGAAAAGCAAACAATGTTTCCGCCCGGTCTCGAACCGGGGACCTTTCGCGTGTTAGGCGAACGTGATAACCACTACACTACGGAAACTTCATATATGTTGCATTCAGGGACCTAAAATAAAAATGTTGAAGTAATTTGATTTTATAGATTTCTTTTTACTTCCGTTTGTATTTTTGTACTTTTCGGTATGCATCTATTGAAATAAATCGCTTTAAAATGCCAATATATCAAACGCGGAAGCCAGTAATGAAAAGCAGTAAGTGTTTCCGCCCGGTTTCGAACCGGGGACCTTTCGCGTGTGAGGCGAACGTGATAACCACTACACTACGGAAACTTGGTGACAATGTTCGTGCTAGATACTAGAAGAGGAGGTTGTTTCAGAAATCACATCCCTTTCTGATGAGCCTCCAGAAGACTTTTTCGATTAATTTCCTACGGTAGTTCTTACCTATGGAGGACAGTATAAATAAATGCATTAATAAATGTATAAATAAATATAGGAATAAATAAATAAATGCTTAAATAAATGTTTGAATACAGAAATAAATGAATAAAATAATAATTAAAAGCTCAACTAAATACTTAAATAAATAAATGCTGAAATAAATAAATTAAATTATAAATAAATAAATAAATGCTGAAATAAATAAATTAATGTATAGGTAAATAAATAAAAGTTGATAATCAAACAGGACATAAACAAATACATATATATTTATTTCTACATTTCTGTTCACCTACATTTATTCATTTATTTATGTGTCTGTATGCTAATGAGGTGGGAGGTCCTAACCTCGGGACAATAATTACTTACTGTTAGTATCAGAGCTGAACATGTTACATATGTAGCTCCCCAACACTCTACAGAGGAGACCTACGATACCTTCAAACTGGTTTGGTATCCTCAGGTCTACCACCAAGGTTTAAATCTATAGATCACCCTCTTAATAAACAAAGAGACTGTCAAACTTAACAATAGATCTAACAGATCTTGTCGAGTATTAATCACACCTGATTTCAGACTAAGAGTGCAGAAATGGAGTCACTGCAAATAAGGACTTTACTGCAGGTGTGTCTGACTGACACCTCGAGTAACCAATCACACAACAGAGCTCAAACTGAAGGAACAACCAGTATTTCTTTATTTTTAACTTTCACTGTTTCCCGTCGATATTGTTTGAAGCTGTTTATTTCACCTACTTACTCCCCATTTTACATCCTACTTTATTTCAGACTAAATGATCTTAATCTCTCACTTTTTCTTTATTAAACTAAATTACATTCAGTTTAATTACCTCACTGAGTTATTTCATCTGACTTCATTGTGAAATAACTTGTTTTACCCCAGAGCTACACATGTGTAACAGTTGAAAAGGATCATCTGATAAATGGGGAAACTCTGCCACCTGCTGTTGTAAATGTATACTTGCACTTAGTAGGAGAAGCAACGGATTATGGGTAATCC